CAAACTTCTGAATTTCAACATATACCTGTATACAAAAATTCAGGTTAGTCGGAGACGTAATAATAATAATAATAATAATAATAATAATAATAATAATAATAATTACATGGGTTGCATACCTACATATTTTACTTATATGATGAATCAGGGTGAAGTTGCGTGACGATTTTACGAATAAATGTTTATAACTTGTTTGGCTAACTTGTATACACACTAGGCGCCATGTATGTTGCTAATTCAATATTGTACGTGTGTATTGAACTACGTCATATATCCTAGATAGTACACACACTAAGTCATTCACACACACGCACATACACGCACTAACGGACACACACACTTTGCTGTCTCTCAGAATCGAGTATGACGATCATCCAGCTATGATACAATGATATGAGTTATTAGGGATGTCACCTAGGTTGGTGAGTTTTGAGGTGACTAAAGAGGCCGATACGGGACCGGCAGGGTCGTCCACAGATGTTGCACATGTGGAGGGCTACATCTAGTGCGGGAGGGCGGCGGCAGCGTCTTTTCGGCGTTAGTGCTTGTCTGCCTCGGTTTGCAGTCGGGCTAACTCGAAAGTATTGACACACACACACACACACACGAACGGACACACATACACACGCAAAGATATCAAATATCTGACAGGGTAATTATTACATGTTATTATAGATTGGGAGACTTGTTTCGGAAGCCCCCCCCCCCCGCCAGGGTGTGGACGTGGGTGTCAACTGGTTCAGAACGTGGGACCAGCGGCGGCCAGTCAGCCTGCGGTCACACAACGGTCTTCCATATGCCATCCCCCAACACACCGCATGCGGCCACTATCCCTCCCCCTCCCTCCTGCCATCGTTCTACCGCACCCGGTGACCACTGCCTTCCTCGTGACGACCAGACTGGTGTGAGCTGAGCACACAACAACCCTCAAGCAGTGTTCTGTGCTCAAGACAAACCAAAATTCAATCAACATATTAAACAAAAGATTAAAATATACGCCATTGTAAAAATTAATAACCAATAATTCACACTCACGGTGGTGTCTGACAATTCGGGCTGACGTCATGCGTAATTTAATCAGTAAAATAAATAATACGTAATTTCAGATTCCAATTCTCCTCAGTGAATCGTAAGGCCCTCTCCCCCCAACACACATCTCCGCCTGGTGACCCTAATGGCGTCCAAACTGTACTCTTCTGTAATAATCAGACGCGTTCACCCAAGAATTTACGACGAATCCGGATTTTTGAAACGTTCGTGCGATAATAGCTTTCTTAAGGACTATTGACAGCTAATAAACATTTTTAATAGCTGATGGACTAGTCATAACATTATAACAACAACAACAACAACAACTATGAACTATACATGCTTACTGACAGCCATAAAGAACATAACATAAGAACATAAGAAAGTGGGATACTGCAGGAGGCCGACTGGCCCATACAGGGCAGATCCCTTTCACACCCATCCCAGCACTTCCATGTGCCTATCCAACTTCGTCTTGAAGCTCCCTAGCGTCCCCGATCCTACTATAGCACTCGGTAGCCTATTCACATATCCACAACTCTATTACCAAACCAGTGCTTGCCTATATCCTTTCTGAATCGGAATTTATCTAATTTAAAGCCATTTGTTCTAGTTATTTCGTTATTACTGAGCTTCAGAACATCTTCCATTTTACCCTTGTTAATCCCACTTTGTACACCTCTATCATATCTCCCCTAACTCTACGCCTCTCTAATGAATGTAAGCCTAAGCTTTTCAGTCTTTCTTCATATGGAAGGTTTCTAATATTATGGATCATTTTTGTCATTCTTTTTGTACTCTCCAAAGAATCTATGTCCATTCTATAATAAGGACACCAGAACTGAACCGCATAATCCATGTGTGGCCTCACTAATGCTAGGTAAAGTTTCAAGATAACGTCAGCAGTTCTTACTCACAGACCTAGATATGAACCCAAGAATCCTGTTTGCCTTGTTGCGAACGCTAATACATTGTTTTCTAGGTTTCAAGTCGTTGCTAACAAATACACCTAGATCTTTTTCACAAACTGAGTTTTCTATTTCCGTGTTACCTAGTTTATACTTAACGTTTGTATTCGTCTTCCTATCTGTAGTACCTTGCATTTATCAGTATTAAAATTCATTTGCCAGTCTACTGACCACTCATGTAAGGTATCTAGATCTCTTTGAAGGTGTTCAAAGTCACTGTCTGAATTTATCACTCTCCCCATTTTGGTATCATCTGCAAATTTACTAATCCTACTAGTTATGCCTAAATCAAGATCATTAATGAATATAACAAACAGCAGAGGGCCTAATACAGATCCCTGGGGAACTCCGCTTTTGACCGCACCCCAGTCTGACTTTAATCCATTTATGCTGACTCCTTGTTTCCTACCAGTTAACCATGACTTAATCCATTTTAATACTGATCCACCTATTCCATGTGCTTCTACCTTCCTTATCAATCTCTCATGAGGGACTCTATCGAATGCTTTACTGAAATCTAAATAAATTATATCATATGACTTATCATTATCTACACTGACAGCCAAAAACTACACATGCTACACTGACAGCCATAAACTATACATACTACACTGACAGCCATAAACTATACACGCTACACTGACAGCCATAAACTATACATGCTACACTGACAGCCATAAACTATACACGCTACACTGACAGCCATAAACTATACATGCTACACTGACAGCCATAAACTATACACGCTACACTGACAGCCATAAACTATACATGCTACACTGACAGTTACCAGGTATTAGCAACAACATAAACTGACAGCTGTTGCTATAAAGAGACAGGTATCAGCTATTAACTCCATTAGCTGACAGTCTTACGCTATAAACACAATATATTGACAGATATAACACGTACATTTCATCAACTGACAGATACGAGTTATTAAGGGTTCTGTATTGGTTATCAGATTATATTTACAGCTATACTTATATACTGACAGCTATAGGTTATATATTTGCTACATTAAAAGCTATACGCTACATTAAGTATTTACATTAACAGCTATAGGCCTATGCTATGTACTAATTTCTATATGCAATTTATGTGATATTTTGACGGCTATAAGCTATAAGGATTATATATTGATAAGCTTTAAGCGTAATGTATCGACAGCTATATTACACTTAGATGAGAGAATGAAGACAGGCCAAGCTTTCAACACAGCTTGACTTCTAACATAGCTTTCATAATAGCATGTCTCCTAACATAGCTTTCATCTCACCTCTTCCAACATAGCTTTTATCACAGATTGCCTTCTAACAAAGCTTTCAACACATCTTGTCTTCCAACATAGCTTTCAACACATCTTGTCTTCTAATATAGCTTTCAACACAACTGCTTTCCTATCGTAGCTTTCACCACAGGTTGTCTCATAACATTGCTTGTCATCTAACATAGCTTTCATCCCACCTTGTCTCCTAACATAGCTTTCATCACAGCTTGTCTTCTAACATAGCTTTCAACCCACCTTGTCTCCTTACATAGCTTTCATCCCACCTTGTCTCCTAACATAGCTTTCATCCCACCTTGTCTCCTAACATAGCTTTCATCCCACCTTGTCTCCTAACATAGCTTTCAACCCACCTTGTCTCCTAACATAGCTTTCATCCCACCTTGTCTCCTAACATAGCTTTCATCCCACCTTGTCTCCTAACATAGCTTTCATCCCACCTTGTCTCCTAACATAGCTTTCATCCCACCTTGTCTCCTAACATAGCTTTCATCCCATCTTGTCTCCTAACATAGCTTTCATCCCATCTTGTCTCCTAACATAGCTTTCGTCCCAGCTTGTCTCCTAACATAGCTTTCATCCCACCTTGTCTCCTAACATAGCTTTCATCATAGCTTGTCTCCTAACATTGCTCAGGTACAATCAATTACAGGATACAAATTGATGGTAGACTTGACTAAATTCTCCTGTCATGTTAAAGTAGACATGACGGTAGATGACGGTACATGACGGTAGATGACGGTAGATTGATTCGTGATTAGCTAAGGGTGTTAGGGATTATGGAAAAGACTTGCTAGTAGAAAAGTAGAACTGATTAGTAGATTATAAGTTATTCGTTATTGTCCATTAGTAGATTGTGGTAGATTAATATAAAGGTAGATATTTCTTGTAACTTACTTAGGTAGATGAAGGTAGATTAATTAAAGGGGGGGGATTAAATATATCGAGAGAGTAGATATCAGTGGGTGCCTTAGTAAGTTACGGTAGATTTCCGAGTAGATGGTGGTAGTTGTAGCGGGGAGTTACGGTACACTGTGGAGGGGGAGGGGGGAAGGGAGGGGGAGGAAGGGAGAAGGGAGGGAGGGAGAAGGGAGGGAGGGGGAGAATGGAGGGAGAAGATAGAGGGCCAAACACACAGTCTGTCTAAGTCGTCATCTGTCCTTAATATATACTGTCTGTCTGTCTATCTGTCTGTCTGAATTGATAGGTTTAGACCACATAGTTTTGGTGTTTAGGATGAATATTTTAGTTAGGTTAGGTTAGGTTTGGTTAATTTAGGATACGTTTAACTTAAGTGTTCAGTTAGACGGTGTAGTTTCTATGGTTAGGTTAGGTTAGGTTAGGTTTAAAGGTAGGTTAGGATACGTTTAAGCCTTAGGTTGTTATTTTAAGTTTTAAGGCAAGGTTTAGGTCTTAGGTTTTAGGTTAAGGTAGGTTAATGTTAGTTTTTAAGTTAAGCTAGGTTAGGTTTTAGGTTAAGCTAGATTTGGCTAGGTTTTACGTTCAGCTAGATTAGCTTAGGTTAGGTCTTAGGTTAAAGTAAGTTAATAGTTTTTAGGTTAAGCTAAGTTAGTTTTTAGCATCCTGGGTATATATACTATATATACAAGTCCAGGAGGGTCAAACACTGGTGAGGCTGCCCTGTAATGTAAGGTCAAGGCATTACTGTCACACTAGGTCAACCACCTCCCTGGTGAAGATGAGTAACAACTTACCTTGAATAAAAAGATGGGGCCCCGGGAACTGGTTTAATAGAGAGACTTCAACGCTGCACAACGACTCAATCCACTTGAAATCATTCGCTAAATAAATCCTTCACAAAACTGTAACACAAAACCTCTACTACTTGCAGAAGCATAAAAAAATAACACAACTTTCCTCACAATGGATTAACCATGACTGCAGTTTATGATAAGTTATTCAGTACGGATCCCCGAGGTTCGTAAAGATAAAGTTTGCTTGGGTCAAAGAGATAACTGGGAGGAGACTCGGCACACACCCTTTCTCTATCACGACTGGGGCCACACTGACTCGTCGGCTGCCTTACTTGCCTATCCCCCCGCCCCACACCGGCGACCCCTGGCCACCACAACACCGCTGCCGACTCACGAGAACACAAACCATTTTTCCAAACTCATCTTCCCCTCCCCCCTCCCTCCCTCCACTCAATCCTCCGCCTCCCTCATGCATGAAATAACACCCCTCGTCATAGTCAACACCAGCACACGATCGACAGGTCTGATTTGATTACAAGGAGGTGTAGGAGCCCGTGGGACCGACATGTGTGGGTAAGTAGGGTAAGCTGGCTGGCAGGCAGACGCGCAGGGAATCCGACACTTCCTTTACCGCGTTCGTCTGGTGGGCGTGGTTGCCGGGTTGAGGCTGTTTCGCCTGGCGTTTACTTCGTCTGGCGATGAGGTAGAAAAATATTCGTTGCTGCCGGGGTAAAGCTGATTCGTTTGACGTTTAATTCCTCAGGTGTTTAATTCATGAAGTGTAATAGCCTAATAGGCGTGGTAGGCAGGTTAAAGGTAGTTAGCCACTTGTCATTGTTTTCTGTACTTTATTTCTCAAAAAGTTTTGGCTAATTAACTCACACTTCAGGTACCTTTATTTACCTGAACAGTCACTTCTTTCTTAATGCATCGTGTGTGTGTGTGTGTGTGTGTGTGTGTGTATGTGTGCATGTAAGTGTATCTATCTGACTCCTGTCTGTCTGTCTGTCTTCTTGTTTATCAATCTATTTGTCTGTTGCATACCACCAAATCACTAATCCACCTTAGCTAATCAGAGCAGCAGAATGACATGTTTACAATCATTTCTTCCCCCTCCCTCCTCACCACCTCCTCACCCCCTCCCTCACCACCCCTCCCTCACCCTCCCCCTCCCTCACCACCTTCTAATCGGGTCAGTAATCTGGTGTTATGAGGATCAGCAGGTGGACAGCCCCGTTAGCTTCCCGATAATGGACTTCTCTCTCTCTCTCTCAATTTTAATTACTTACGAGTGATCGGATCATTCCAGTAAGGGGCCGCCAGTGTAATGTTATGGTAGGTGTGTGGGTCCGTGTCTAGCTGTGGGGTAATTCAAGAACGGGATGAGTTACAGTATTCAAAGTTAGTCTAGTTATGCAGTGTGATTTCCCCTAATGCTGTGGGTAGATTTAAAGGTCAAAAGGTCAAAGTTCAAGGTCATTCTTCTTCTTCTTCTTCTTCTTCTTCTTCTTCTTATTATTATTATTATTATTATTATTATTATTATTATTATTATTATTATTATTATTATTATTATCAAGTAACTCTCGCTCGCTAATTATTTTACAAACACACCATTTTAACTATAAACCAATTCTATAAGTTTTTCACCAGTAATATAATATAGAAAACGGGATATAGTAGCATCATATAATACTGGACGACAATATCACATTAGAGATTTATTCAATTGAGCTAAAAATACCTTATTTATGTGTTATTTGAGGAATATGTCAACTAATTTTGTGTTTATTTATATATTTATCCACAATTCGTGTCCTCTGTGGTAAAAACAATTGTCGAGTCATCCAGGTTTATGATTGGTGAGACGAGAGTTAGTGCGACAACAATTAAGCCAATCAGGGAGACGTGTTCAGAATACGACCTTTGGATTCTCTCTACTACTCACTCATACACGACACCACCACACAGACACACGTACACATGACACATCTCACAGACACACGTACACACATGACACACCACACAGACACACGTACACACATGACACACCTCACAGACACACGTACACACATGACACACCACACAGACACACGTACACACATGACACACCTCACAGACACACATACACACATGACACACCACACAGACACACGTACACATGACACATCTCACATACATACATGACACATCTTACAGACGCACACATGACACATCTCACATACACTGTTAAATGCTCGCACGACAAATAATCCTCGTAAGTGAAAATAAAATAAAAATACTTTTGACGTAAAACAAAAATTATTAAACAAAATCAGAATAACATTTGGAGATTTAACCTTAACTAGATAAGTACAGTTAACACAAAAGAAAATTAACTTACGTAATTTTTGTAAACAATTTGTATATTAATATTGTCTTTTAAAGGATGTTAAATATATGTATCTAGTTCAAGACATAGGTACAAACATATGGTTCCAATAACGACTCAAATCATGTCCCAATTGCCTCGTTGATCTTAACTACCCCACAGAGTAGCTCATTACCTGAATTACACTTAACTATCGGTCAACCATCTTAACTACTAGTGATTAAAGCGATTGTAGTTTTAGGTTTAGCCATTAAGGGTCATTATTAATTATGTTAATGTACTATAGTCGTTATAATGACCCAATTCGATGGTTAATTACTATTTTGGGGACGAGTTTGCTATAAGTGGTAATAAAACACACACACACACACACACACACACACACACACACACACACACACACACACACACACACACACACACACACAAACTGAAAACTTTACGACAAAACTGAAAACTTTACGACA